CTCCCCATTCCCTGCCCATCCTCGCGCTTGGCTGGGGACCAACACTCCGATGATGCCTTTGCTGTTGGCGTATATGGTGCCCGCGAGCTTTCACTATCCAGGCCCCCCGCCCGACATCACGAGCTCGTATCGGCAATGAGGAAGATGCGCGAATTAGATACACATCAGAGTCTTAGAGGAATCTAGAGGGGAGGTAGGACATAGATCTATGTCCTATCTCCCCTCCAGTCCCCTCCCTTCCCGTCCCTTCCCCTCCCTTCCTTCCCCTCCCTTCCCCTCCCTTCCCCTCCCTCCCCTTCCCTTCCTTTTTCCCCTCTCCCTCCCTTTTTGTTCCTCTCTCCCTCCTTTTCCTCTCACCCTCCTTCGCTCACACATGCAGCCAACCCCGCCCCTGGGCGCCGCCTTCGCGGCCTCCAAGATCGCCGTGTAGTAATCGAGCTTCTGGTCGGCCTCATCGTCGCTGTCGTACGGCAGCTGGGCGTCCCCCTCCCCTGCCCATCCTGCGCAACAATTCGGGGGCCGCGGGCCGACGCCAAGAGGAAGGATGAGGGATGGAGAAAGGATGGAGGAAATGGGAAGTAGCGGGGAAGGCGAAACGAGCGAGGGTGCGAGACGCACGGATGGAGGGAACGGGAACTATTGGGAAAGGGAGGGGGCGGGGGTCGACGGAGGGAACGACGAACCGAGGGAGAGCGAGTGAAGGGGGAGGAGCAAGTGCAACGTGCAAGGAGGGAAGATGATGACATGAATTGAGAGCGGTGGAGATACAGAGATAGAGCGAGAGAGAGAGAGCGAGGGAGAGCGAGAGAGAGAAGAGAAGTGAGAGCGAGAGAGAGAGAGAGGGGGAGCGGCACTGCTCCCTCCCCGCCGTGTGTTTTTCTGGCGAGCGCTGGTACTTTCCGTTGTGCAGCTGCCAGTGCTTGAGGATGGTTCTGATGGCGCGGCACTGCACGAACCTGGAGGGGCAAGTTACGAGAAACAAGCATATACATATATATAGAGAGAGAGAGGGAGAGAGAGGGAGAGAGGGAGAGAGAGAGAGAGAGAGAGAGAGAGCAAGGAGTGAGAGGGCGAGGGGGAGCAGGGGAGACGGAGAGGTTACCGTGCGGGGAACGGCCCATGGAATGCCCTTCAGAGCCGTTCGCCGCCCATGGACTGCCCTTCAGGGCCGTTCGACGGCCCGGATGACTCTCTCCTGTCCTGCGCTTCCCTCCTCCTCCTCCTCTTCCTCCTCCTCCTCGTCCTCCTCTGATGCCGCTTCCCTCCACCTCTCTTGTCTTACGCTTCCCTCGTCCCTGCTGCCCCCAATACTACCCGTGGAGCCTATGTCCATCCATGATCATCTTTGATGGCTTCTTCTCCTGGCGGTCGGTGCGCTTCAAGTGCGCCAGCAGCTCATTGTACCACATATCATCCCACGCGGCCTGCTGACGGGGGACTCTTCTGAGTTCTGGATCGTTCTCGCTGGCTCAATCGATCTCTTGTCCAATGGGTCCGCCCTCGAAGAAGGAACCATCGAACAAGAGATCCATTGAGCCAACGATAACGGTTTAGAAATCAGAAGAAGAGCACATGGATATGGAGAGGCATCGAGAGAGACTGCGGTGGGTCCGAATGGGGTGTGTGACGAGAGCGGACGGGCACAGAAGTATGAAGTGAGAGCGCGAGGGGAAACATGAGAGCACGAGGGTGCCTCCACATCATCTTGAGAAAACCTCTTGCCCTCGCTCAGGGTGTTCAGCTGCGATGCGAACTCATCCCACACCTCCCAACCCCCTGACTGTTCCCACTCGTTCGCACTGTCACCATCACCGTGACCTCCCCACTATGGGGATGGGGATGGGGATGGTCGTAAGGATGACGAGGACGAAGTGGATGATGGTCAGGATGATGATGGCGATGCTGATTCGCAAGAGGGTGACGGTGCTGATGGTCATGATGGGGATGATGATGACGATGATGACGACGATGATGAGTACGGTGGTATGTCAAACAACGTCGTAATCAGCATCGCAGCCGTCAGCATCGTCGTCACGATCATCTCGATCATCATTCTGGTCGTCCTCATCATCACCATCACCCTCGAGGATCCCAAGCTCCTGACGTCTGCTTCCTGAGGCCGTCCCCATCCTGTTCCTCCTCCTCCCCCTCCTCCTCCTCCTCTGCCTACTCCTCTCCCCCCTCTGCCTATCCCTGTCCCTGTCCATCTTCCCCCCTCATCTCTCTCTTTCTCTCTCTCTCTCTCTCTCTCCCTCTCTCTCTCTTATATATATATATATATATCTGTATATATCTGCTGTCCCTTCCTCCTTCTCCCACCTCCACCACTCCCCCGTCCCCATCCTATACGTTCCCGCACCCCCTGTCCCATCCGACCACAACTTCCTGGGGTTGATGCGGCTGTTGTAGTCTGGAGTGTATTGCTTGAAGTCGGGGATGTCGCTCTGCTCGAAGCAGGGCATCGTGTCGCTCTTGCTCAGAACCTGCGGGGGGAAGGGCAGGGATACGAGTGAGGGATTGCGTGAGATATACACGCTAAAGTATGGGCGTACACAGATGTATGTATATATATATATATACATACATAGTATATGCGCGCACGTGTCACGCATACGCACTCACATATTGAGACAGTGCAGGGGGCGGGGCGAGAGAGGAAGAGATCTACATATACACACATCGGTGTATTAAACTACACCTTCGAATGAGAGTTCATAGCATTAGTTGGTACATGAGGGGGCGAGATATAGAGATCAGGCAACACCTAATCAATGATGCTGACCCTCCTCAACAATTCCTCACAATCGCCGTCGCCATCGATCGTCATCATGGGCATCATCATTATCTTCGTCGTCATCATGGTGATCGTCGTTCTCGTCATGACATCGTCCTCGTCATGATCGTCGTCATTGGTACTGTCCTCATCTTCGTCGTCCTCGTCCTCATCCTCGCCGCGCGGAGCCTGCGCGAGCGCCAGCCTCGGCACCGTCGCGCAAGCCTCGTGCTTCAGCTTCTGCGCCATCCCTGCGGGTATGGGAGGAGCGAAGCTGCGCCATCTTTGCCATCCTCCTCCTCCTCCTCATCATCATCAGCATCATCACCACCATCATCATCATCATCATCATCATCATCATCATCATCATCATCATCATCGTCAACATCACCACCATACCAGCAGCATCATCATCGTCACCGTCACCTGTCACTGCCATGCCACGGGAGGGAAGGGGAGAGAAAGGGACGGGAGAGGAGAGGAGGGCAGGAGAGAGGATGGGAGGGGAGGGGGGAGAGGAGAGGAGGGGGGGATGAGAGAGAAGGGGATCGAGAGAAACGCCCGTCACAGAAGGGGGGATCCTCGAGGTGAATCTTCATCATCCTCCTCCTGCTCCTCCTGTTCCTCTTGCCCCTCTGCTCCACAACCAAGGTTTCGGCGGAGTGCCTCCAGTCCCTCCTGTCCCCTGCTTCTCAACCAGAGTCTTCGACGGAGTGCCTGAAGTCCTCCCTTCATCCCTCCTCCTCCTCCTCTTGCTCCTCCTCCTCCTCCTCCTCCTCCTCCTTCTCCTCGTCTGGAGAAAGAGGTGGCCTGGCGCGCGGCGCCGCCGCGGCGGCGGGCAGCGCGGCGCGGCGCGCCCGCGGGGGCGCGCCGCTCGAGAAGAGGGCTGCGCGCGCGTGCAAGCAAGCACGCGCGCGCGCCTAGAGGGGAGAGGGGGGTTCAGGGGAGAGACCTCTAAGGGCAGAACGGGGATCTCGAGAAGAAGTCGGCGACGAGAGGGCCCGAGAGGGATCGAATAACTCTACCCCTCCTCCTTGTCCGTCCTCGCCCTCCACACCCGGGCTCGCTTTCCCCTCCGAACCCCGTCAGCGGCGAAGTGGCGTCACCATCGGGCGGCGACTATGGGTGACCTGCGTTGCGGCCAGCCTGGGGTCTTATAGGTATACATACATTTCTATGTCTGTATGTAAATGTTTACTGCGGATCACCAGAAACTTGTCTTGATAATTAGGCAGAATTTCAAATTTAATGTACGCTTCTATGTTGGAGCAGAAACTGAATTTCAATGTCTGCCGAAATTTCCCACTTAGTTTCTGCTTCAACATGGGCCACAGGAGCCTATGTATTCCCAAAGCAGACATTAAATCTAAAGGTGCTGCAGGATGTTCAACGCCAGTTTCTGGTGACCCGCATGCGCGGAAATTCTGGCCCCCCGCGATCGGGGATTATAGGGCTTGGGGGGGTCCCAGTCAGGGAAAGGATACATATCATACATATATATGATATGTATATATATATACATACGTACGTATACATATATATATATACACATGTATATATATATATATATGTATATATATATGTAAACATATATACACACATACATATATACATATACATATACACACAGGGGGTCTCCAAAAAGCAAACACGCAATATCCTCCGTACTCCTCCTCCCCCGAACCGCCACCCTCCCATGAGGGTACCCGTGGCAACCCCACAGGACCCGACCACGCGTTTCCCGCGACCCGGTCCCGAGCGGGACCGCCAGAGGGCCCCAAAAAAAAACGCAGGCCGTGGCGGTCCAGCGCTGGGGTGGGAAGGGTGGCCCCGCCGCCGTGCCGCTCCACGGCAGCCGTTAGGCTCGGCGGCGGGGTCCGCGGGCCAGGCGGGTTGGCACAGTGGCCATTGTATGAACCTCCCCCGCCTCCGCCGTAACCCCCAAACCAACGAATTAACATGTCATGGCGTAACATATAATAGCACACGTATACCATATTTTCATCGGCGCGATGACAACATGGCAATCATCTGCAACTCGGCTTGGGATCTCGTACAATGTCGTACATCTGGAAGAATTGGAGTCATCTTAGAAGAATTGGAGTCATCTCGGAAGAATTGGAGTCATCTCAGAAGAATTGGAGTCATCTCATAAGATCTGGAGGAATTGGAGTCATCCGACAAAATCAATATCATACGACGACCTCAATTAAATCAAGGTCGTCGGATGTCTGGGACTGCAGCCTTCGACGCGGAGGTGGCGGAGGGGCGCAAGCTGGAGGGCGCCGACATCGCCATCAGGGAGGAGTACGCCGCGAAGGTGCGGGGCTGCGAGCCTGAGGCGGGGGGCGAGCCGTTCGAGCTGTCCAAGTCGCTTCGTGCCCACATCATCGGGGACCAGTGGAAGGACGAGGAGCTCGGGGCCATCTGCATGCAGCTCCGCGCCGAGTCTGGCGCCGGCGACACCCCCGAGGCGCAGCGTCTCGGGGAAGACTTCGCGCTCGAGCAGTTCGTGACGGTGGGGCCAGGGGAGCAGCGCTGGCTGCTAGTCCTCCCTGCGTCTGGCGGACCGGGCTCGGGTATATCGTGGAGGCGCTTCATCTTGCTCCACGTCCACGCTGGCCCGTCAGGGGGTCACAAGACGGTGGTCGCCACTCGTGAGTGCGCCCGGCGGCTGGTGGTTTGTCCGGGGCTCGCGGCGGACATCGAGAAGTGGTGCGCTAGCTGCTGGGCCTGCCTCCGATTCAGGAAGCAGACTACGAAGGTGCAGGCCAGCTTCATCGTGGCACGGCACCGGCTTCCTCTTCATCATGTGGTCATCGACGTGGAGGGCCGCATCACTCCCCCCGACGTCGACGGGCACGCGTACGTGCTGACCTACATCTGCGTGGCGACGGGGGCCCCCCTGCTCGAGCCGCTCAAGCACCTGCAGCACTCCGAGGTCTGGCGCGCCTTCTTTCGGTGCGCGACTCGGGCCAAGACCTGGCCGATGCTGGTGAGTTCGGATCGTGGCAAGGAGTTCTGCAACGCTCTCATGGAGGAGCTCTGGGCACTCCTCAACTTCGCAGGCCGCTTCGGCGCGTCGTGGAGGCCCTGCGAGCAGGCGGGCGCGGAGCGGTCCCACATCGAGTGTGCGAGGGAGATCGGCATCTTCCTGCACGACGTTTTTAAGTGCGCCCCCGGCCAGTGGGCCGAGCTGCTGCCGATCGTCGAGTTCGTGTTGTGGAACTCGCCCGGCAAGTCGGCGCTGTCGCCGAGGGACCTTTGCATGGGTTGGTCGTTGGCTTCGCCGCTGGAGAGGGAGCTGCTGCCGCTGGAGCCCGCCGTTCGTGAGGCAGTCTCCGACGTCGCGGCGGCGCAGTTCGAGCAGTTCAGGCGTTTGCGGGAGGTTTATCTTCAGCATCGGGCTCGAGCCGGCCGACGCAGAGCGGAGCTGGCTAATCGCGCGAGATCGTCGAGGCGCCCGGAGGTCGGGGACATGGTTTTGTTCAAGGACCTGAAGCTCTCCAAGGCCGTGGCCGGGCACGCTCCAGGCCGCCGGCCCCTGCGCGGCCCCTTCGAGGTCCTCTCCACGAAGGGCGACGTGGCCACGTTGCGGGACCCCGAGACCCAGCAGGTGCTCAAGGACATCCACGGGGATTTCTTGGTCGGCGTCCCGGGCCTGGTTGACGACGCGGAGCGCATCGTGAAGTTGGAGGAGGACGACGGCCGTGGCAGGGCCTCTGCCGGACAGCTTCTGGCAGCGCGGCTGGCCCCTGGAGGCGGCGAGGCCGCCGAGGCGCTGGCGCCGCGCGTGAAGGCGCGGATGCGAGAGGTGAAGGTCGGGCGGCTCGTCGCCTACCAGGGCGAGGAGGCGAAGCGCTGCCGGGTGGGCAAGGTGCTGAGCCTGGCCGAGGACCTGAGCAGCGTGACGGTGCACGTGTACCAGGCGGCGGTCGACGGACGGCTGCAGGTGGTCTGGACAGCGGCGTGCGACCGCCAGGAGGGCGCGGACTTCCAGCGGCAGAGAGTCGAGACGCTGGAGGCGAAGCGGGTGCTGGGTGTCGTGGAGCTCAACAAGGGCGTGCTGAACCACTCGGCGGCGAGCAGACTGGCGCGGGCTGGCTGGCGGCTGGACGAGGGGACCGTTCGGCACGGTGCCTTGGCGGCGGCGGCAGTGGCGCTGGCCGCGCTACGGCTCTCCGACCTCCCCTCGAGCCGCGTCATCGCGCTCGTCGCAGCTTGCCGTCCGCTCGAGGAGCTCGACCTGAAGATCGGCGAGGTCCAGGCGTGGGCGCACGGCGTTCCCCTCTTCGTGGAGATCTTCGATGGGGTCGGGAGGCTTTCGCAGGCGGTCCAGAGCTTAGGCGCAGCCAACGCGGTGTGCAGCGTGGTGGCCGGCATCGACCTCAAGCGCAGGACGTACGGGCAGTACTGGGACCTCAGCAGGGCTAAGGACCGTGCCCGGCTTCGCTACCTGCTCTTCGAGGTGCTGAGGCCGGCAGGAGCCCACTGGGCGCTCCCCTGTGCGAAGTGGAGCAGCCTCGGTGGCCACCAGCCCGACGCCAACGCGCACGCGCTGGCCTCCTTCACCATGGACGGCCTCGAGCACCTCGACGGCGCGGGCTGCCTGGCCTCCTTCGAAGTCCCTCGAGCGCACGCGCTGGTGGCAAGCGTGGAGTGGCGGCAGCGGTTCGGGTCAGCCGAGGCGCCGCGCGGGCGCTGGCGATACGTGCTCCCCGACGGCTGCATGTTCCACTGCAGGAGCCCGGACGAGGAGCCCCTGGCCATGCAGAAGCCGTACGTCATCGTGGGCAACTTCCCGCTGGACTTGCTGGACGTCCAGTGCCGCCGTGGAGCGCTGCGGCCGCTAGGGCGCGGTCTCGAAGGCGTCGAGGTCGCCTCCGCGGAGCTGGGCGGCGACGCCGGGAGCTCCATGATCGGAGCCGCGCGGGCGCTGGAGGGGCCTCGCATGCCCTGCGAGCCTGGACGCGCGGCCGCTCCGGCCGCTGGGGTGACGAGGTCGGTGGACAAGCTGAGCGACGCCGAGATGGCGGAGAAGAAGGCGCGGCGGGAGCCGGCGGCGGCGGCGGCGAAGAAGAAGTGGGCCGAGCTGGCCAAGAAGGGCGACTGGGACCAGGTGCGGATGCCCGGCAAGTGCTTCAGGTTTGCCGAGGTGAAGGTTTCGCCGAGGCGCTCTGCGGAGTACAAGGCCAAGGTTCTGGAGGCTGTCGGGCTCGTCGGCGAGTGCGCGGGCTACAAGCACCTGGGCAGCCAGGAGCTGGAGGCGCTGAAGGAGATGATCAGCCTGAAGGCCGAGGCGTTCTGGGTGAAGGGCACCGCGCGGACGGTCATGCGCGGCTTCAAGCACGACGTGGTGACGACCGGCTTGCCTGTGCGTGGGCCGCCGATCCGCTTAAGGGCCCGGAGGCTTCCATCGTCCGCGAGGAGCTCGAGGCGGGCGTGGAGCAAGGGCTGTACTCCAGGGGGACCTCGCCCTGGGGCAGCTGGGCCTTTCCGACCAAGGAGCACGCGAGCGGCCGGAGGCGTCGGACCGTCGTGGACTACCGCATGGTCAACCGCAGGATGGTGATGTTCGTGTACTACATCCGCCGGTGCCGAGACGTCAAGGGCGAGCTGGTGGGCTGCGCCTTCATCTCTGGCATGGACGGCGCTCGCGGCTTCAACCTCCTGGTCAACACTGAGCACGCGAAGGAGGTCCTGGCTGTGCTGGCGGACTGCGGCTGCTACCTCCCCGAGGTGCTGCAGCTGGGGCCAGCGACGGGGCCCTTCGACTTCCAGTTCTGCACCGGCGAGCTGTTCACTGGCACCGGCCGCGGACGCTACGGATCGGTTTGGAAGAACTACATCGACGACTTCTGGGTCAGGACGGGGCAGTGGCTGAACGGTCGCGCCTACACCGACCGAGAGTGCGAGGAGATGCTGGCGGCGGCATCCCCCCCCCCGGCTGCCTCTCGCCCACTGGGCGACTCGCTGGCAGCAGCCGGGTTCGCGGGGGCCCGCAAGGCCAGCCAGAGCTACGACCACGCCAAGGGCGTGCTCGTGGGGCTGTGCGTGGCGCAGTCGGCCACGGGGGCGGCGGCTATGGAGGGCGGCGGCGTTGCCTTGGCGAACGGCCTCCGCATGCTGGTGGTGGCTGCCGCGGTGCGCACGGCGTCCTTGGTGGATGAAGGGCTGCGCGCGGGCGTGCAGCTGACGCAGGACATCTTCGAGGCGGCCGGCGACCTGGTCCAGAGCGTCTCCTGGGACCTCAGCGGCCTCATCCACGAGGTGTGCGAGGGGGCGGTCCTGGTGGTGCGCGTCCTGGTCGTCGTGCAGTGCTGCTACGCTCTCTACTGCCTGCGCTCGTGGGTGGCTTGCCGCTCGCAGCGGGCGGCGCTGGAGCGCGCCGCCACCGCCGGCGAGGCGGCTCAGCGCGGACTCACGTCCAGCGCGCGAGCCTGCGAGGCCGGCGACGGGCCCGCCTTCGGCCGCGAGCCGATGGCCAGGGCGGCAGCCGCTGGGAGGAGCCCGAGCGGGGCCCTCTCTTCAGCAGATGGCGCCGCCAGCCCTGTGGTGGCGCTGTGGCGCGAGGCGGAGTTCGAGACGCCCCTGCTCGGAGCGGCGGCACGCCCCCGAGCGGAGGTCCTCCAGATCCAGCGGAGCGCAGCTGTGGCGCTGCGGGACCTGGAGCACTCGGACCGCCAGCGCGCCGCGCGCGCGCGCGCGACCTGGCCGCTTGCGGTGCGGTGGTGTCCGCAGGGCTGGTGGAGGCTGCGCGCAGCTCAGCGGTGAAGGACGCGGGCGACCTGTGCGAGTTCGAGGTTGAGGTGGCCGGCAGCCGCGGCGTGCGGTATGATGTGCGGCTTCGCGCTGGACGCTTGGCCGCCGCGTTGCTCCCCGCATCGTGCACTTGCGCGGACTTCGTCGGCGGCGTTGGCAGCCCCTGCAAGCACATCGGGGCGGCCTGGTGCTGCGCGGTGGACGGCAACTTCAGCGAGCTGGTGGAGCTGGCGCTCGCGGCTGGCCGCAAGGAGGGAGCTGCCGCTGGACCTCAGCGACGCGCAGCCCTGGCGCCGAGCGACTCCCTTGGCCTCGCGGGGGCCGTGCGGGAGCTCCGCGACTCGGAGGCCGAGGTCGTGCGCCTGCGCGAGGAGGTCCAGCAGCTGAAGGCGCAGCTGGGGGCGACCTCCAGGCGCGGAGCCGTGACCGAGTTCCTCTCGGCGTCGGAGACGCTGGCGGCTTGGGCGCGGGCTTGCGGTGAGGCCGAGAGCTATGTGTACGTGGCGTGCTTCACCTTCGACCAGCCGGGCGTGGTGAACTACCTGGAGGCGGCTCGAGCTCGAGGCCCCACAGTCCGTTTGGTGTTCAGCGGCCGTGACAAGGCCTTGACCAACAACCAGGGGCCGCGCCTGCAGCGGCTCCGAGCCTGTGGGTGCGAGGTGCGCGCTCACGAGGGCTCGCGGCTGCACGCCGAGGTGATGATGACAGAGCGCGAGATTGTGCTGGGCAGCTGCAACTTCACGACTGCCAGCTTGGGCAACGTGGAGCGCGGGGCCAGCCTGCAGGAGCTGTCCGAGGAGACGGTGCTCGAGCAGAAGGAGTGGTTCGAGCAGCTGTTCGAGGCGGCGGCGCCCTTCAAGGACGGGATCGGCGAGGTGGTGCCTCCGTCGCCGGCCCGGTGAGGGCGCCGCGGGGCGCTGGAGGCCGGCTGGGCGCGAGGCCTAGCGGCCGTGGCGCTGAGGCGCGAGGCGCTGGAGGCCACCTGGGCGAGAGGCCTAGCGGCCGTGGCGCCGAGGCGTGATGCGCTGGAGGCCCGCCGGGCGAGAGGCCTAGCGGCCGCGGCGCGAGGCGCTGGAGGCCATCTGGGCGAGAGGCCCAGCGGCCGTGGCGCCGAGATGGCAGGAGCGCGGCATTTTGCTGCGCCGTCGACGCCCGGCAGCGCCGGGAGCTACGAGCGACTGCATGGCGCCGAGTTCGGCGACTTCAAGGAATTCATCGACTTCAATTTTGTGGAGCGGCACGTCGCGGAGGACGTGCCGGGGCGCCTGTGCCGCGGAGTGGTGCCCTGCTCGAGGAGAGGGGCACGTGAGGAGCGGCATGGGCGCACAGGCGGCGGAGTGCGGGCCGGCGACGACGGCCCCGGTGGCGACGGCTGCTTGCCCCGCGCTGCCGCGTGGCTCAAGGAGAAAGGCCCCCCTCCTCCCTCTCCTCAGAGGCGCGGGGGAGGCGCGGGGGGCCCGCCCGGGGTCCGAGGGCCCGCGAGGGCCCATAGGGCCCGAGGGCGGCACCAGGAGGCCGCTCTCGAGGCCCTGAGGGGCCGAGGCTCCAGGTGAGCCTCATACTGCTACTGCTACTACTACTACTACTACTACTACTACTACTACTACTACTACTACTACTACTACTACTACTACTACTACTACTACTACTACTACTACTACTACTACTACTACTACTACTACTACTACTACTACTACTACTACTACTACTACTACTACTACTACTACTACTACTACTACTACTACTACTACTACTACTACTAGTACTACTACTACTACTACTACTACTACTACTACTACGACTGCTACGACTACAAGTCGTGCACAAGCTGTCCTTTTGTGGTCTTTGTCGTATTTGTCGGTCAGTCTGGGAGCGTGCGGCACAGCGTTGCGCGCCGCGGACAGTTGCCCGCGTTTGCGCCCTCGTGTTCCCTCCCCTTCTCCCTCCTCCTTCTCCTACTCATCCTCGTCCTCGTCCGCGTCCTTCTTATGATAACGCTGTGCGATTTTGCTTTAGAATCCAAGGCTCCTCGCGCGGGCTCGCCTGTTGAGATTGGTCTTCGCTAGGCTCCTGGTTTGCTCTGTGCGCCTCGTGGGTGCCATGTGTCGCAGGGGAGCGCGGTTGTCCTGGGACGATTCTGACAGTGATGGTGATGGTCATGGTGATGGTGGTGGCGATGATGTTGTTGATGACGTTGATGCTGGTGATGCTGATGATGCTGATGGTGGTGGATGTGGTGGTGGTGAGACGATGGTGGCGTTGATGGTGATGATCCTGGTGATGCTGCTGCTGTTGATGAGGTTGGAGATGATCCCGAAGACGACGACGAGGTTGTTGCCCATCATCATGGCGAGTCAATTGATGTTGATGATGATGACGATGATGATGAGGACGATAACGATGCTGATGCTGATGACGATGCTGATGATGCTGCTGCTGACGACGATGATGCTGACGACGATGATAACTTTGATGGCGACTGTAATCTTGATAATGCATGTAATGGCGATGTCGTTTATTCTGCTGATAGTTCTGCTCCTGATGACGATGATTAGGATGATTTTGGTACTGAGGATAATGGTGATGATTCATGAGGGGGTGGCGGTGACGGTGATTGTGATGATTCTTGTGGTGGTAGTGGTGATGACGAGGCGGAAGATGACGAGCATGACGAGCATGACGAGACAGGGAGGGGGAGGAGGGGGAGCAGGGGGAGGAGGGGGAGGAGGATCATTCCCCCTCAGGTGTTCTTCGGGGCCGCCCTCACCGCGGTTCTGGGGCCGCACAAGGAACGGGCCCCGCGCCGATCGCCTTATCAGGAGGAGGAGGAGGAGGAGGAGAGGGAGAAGGAGGAGGAGGATGAGGAAGAACAGGGCAGGAGCAGGAGGACGAGGAGGAGTGGGCTCCTCTTCCTTTCTTCCTCCTCCTCCTCCTCCTTCTCCTCCTCTTCGTCGTCGTCGTCGTCGTCCTCCTCCTCCTCCTCCTCCTCCTCTCCATTAGAGGAGGAGCATTATTTTCAAGAAGGCAATGGCGCAGAAGATCGTGCTACGAAGTCTGGCCTGTCCGCTTACCGCGAAGGCTCTGCGGCGGAGCCGCCTGGGACCTGACCCGAACCGAGTCCTGTCCAAACTTCCGAAGTGTGGCCAGTCCTGGCGGCGAGGGCGCGGCGTACAGTCAAAACGCCGCAGCGTAGAAGAACCTTGATCTTCGATCCTCGGTCGACGACCTCTGGGGGTCTCTTAGAGGTCCTCCGGAAGCCTTGAGAAGCCTCCGAAGGCCCGCTCAGGCCCGACGATGATCCTTGAACCTCGCCCCTTGGGGTCCACCCTGGTCAGTTTTTCGAGCCGCGCCCCCCCGTGGGGGCGAGAGCATCCAGAAACGGGCAGAAGCCTCCGAAGTGAGGACGTCGCTGTCGTGGCCGTCGCCGCCGCCGTCGTTTTCGTCGTTGTCGTCGCCGTCGCAGCCGCTATCGCCGTCGTCGCCGTCGCCGTCGCCGCCGCCGTCGCCGTCGCCGCGGCCGTCGTCGCCGCCGTCGCCGTCGTCGTCGTCTCGTCGTCGTCGTCGTCGTCGTCGTCGTCGTCGTCGTGTCGCCGCCGTCGTTGTCGTTGCCGTCGTCGTCGCCGTCGTCGTCGATGTCTTCGTTCTCGTCGTCATCGATGCCTTTCGAGTTCCGAGGGAGGGCCGGGGAGGGCGTCCCCCCCCGCCCCCCTTGGCGCGAGCGGGGTGGAGAGGCGTGGGCGGCCAGGGATCACCTCGCCGCCGCGCCGCGGCGGCCCGAGGAGGAGCGCGTGCACCTGGACGTGCTGAAGGGCAGGCCGCCAGATGCTCTCGCCGGCGGCGCGTCGACGGGGGGCCGCCGTGGCGTTGTCGGTCGGAGGTTGCCTCGATCGGGGGCGACGAGGGGGGGGGGGGCGAAGAGCTCAGGGGAGAACGATACATGTATCCAGGGGCGCCGCTGGTCCATGCCTTCGGCGAGGCTCACGGGCGAATGCGTGTCATGCCCGCCCCTGGGCTGTTTGCCCTTATCGTCGCCCCCGACGTGAGCAGGACCGAGGATCAGAGATCGCCTTCCTCTGCAGGACCACCAAAACAGGGACGTCAGAGTGGTCAGACGCTTCGCCGATGAAGCCGACGAAGACGTGCAAGATCCAACCGTTCGATGATGTCCACAGTTTTGGCTTGCTTGACCGAACATATTGGGTGCGCCCTTGGCATACACTTGGGGTGTTTTGGTTGCGCCCCTTGAGATCCGTTTGGGGTGTTCTACAGACCTGACCCCCCAGCCCTACTCAATGGAAGCCCCACCCTGCCAGGGCGATAACTTAGCGACTTGTCCTGTCTCGGTTCTCGAGCAAGTGTCGCGGCCGCCTTTCTTGCGGGCATGCGCTCTCTGGGACTGGTCCTGGGCCGCTTCGACCAGAGGGCGTTCTGCTAAAAGGGGGTATGTGCACCCTGGATTCGGAGGCTTTCGGAAGTTTCCAGCTGTTTTCGGGGCCAGGGATGGTTTCCTTCAGATGTGCCTCACCGAGAGCGTTCTTGGGATGGTTTCCCTTTCCTCCTGTTGATCCTCCTGCCGATCCTGCTGCTGATCCTCCTCATGTTCTTCCGTATCCTCCTGCTGATCCTCCTGCTCACCCGCCACCTCCTCCTCATCATCCTATTTCACAGTGCGCACGATCGGGTCTTGTTTGAAGTTCCAGGTTGGCTATGGCACGCGTCCGCGGATAGAGAAGTATTAGCGCAATGGTAGGGGATGAGAGTGATGAGGCGCGAGCGCACCTATCTTGTCTCTTTATCCTCTCCTCTCTCTCTCTCTCCTTTCTCCTCCTCTTGTCTCCTCCTCGTCCTCCTTCTCTTTCTCCGCCTCCTCCTCTCTCTTCTTTTCTCGCTTCTCGTCCCCTGCCAACTCCCCACCTGTCCGCAGATTCCTCAGCCTGTCGTTCCTGATGTACGCGGCCGTGTTCGCGTGTGGGCTAGTTAGCAGCGCGTACGTGCTCAGGCGACCTTGGACGAAAAGTGGGAGAGGGAAGGATGGGGGGCAGGAGGGGGAGAGGGAAGATGAGGGGGAGGAGGACGGGGGTGATGATGATGCTGGTGATGATGGGGACGATGACGATGACGATGATACTGATGATGATGATGATGATGATGAGGATGATGATGATGATGATGCTGATGATTATGATGATGATGATGCTGATGCTGATGCTGCTGATGATGATGATGATGATGAGGATGAGGATGATGCTGATGATGACGATGATGATGATGATGACGATGATGATGATGATGATGATGATGATGATGATGATGATGCTGATGATGATGATGATGATGATGATGATGATTATATATTTATGGTGCTTGTGATGATTACCCCAGTGCGACCCTACCAAGAAGTTTGAGCCCCTAGGAATGCAGCATTAGTTGCTATGCTATGTCATGCCATGCCATGACATACTATG